CTCCGAATTACACGTTTTTTGTGGGAGCTCGTAAATAGTTTCAATGGAATTCCCTCCTATCCCCTGCAATGGATCTGATTCTTGTGTAACTGTAAATGTGGTCACAGTGACATATGACTTATCTGAACCAAATATTTCATCCTGATGCGTGCCGATTTGACTTATCTCACCCTCCTTTTGCAAATAGTCACCAGAGCTGCCACTTTCACAAATATCTTCGACTGACAGTGCTGCGGAGGAATGCTTATTATTGTCAGAACTTTGTTCTCGAGCTGACTTTGAAGTGGATATGTGAGAAACTTTCGCATCAAGACTTGTAGTTCTAGACGATAGGTTTTGCCATTCACTATTTTCAGAAACCGAAATTTGTAGTGTTATACACGACTCATCAGTCTTCAGAGTCTCATTATCAACAGAAAACGACGGAAGAGAAGTGATATTTTCGCCTGTTCCAACCGATAAGTTCATTTGGGGAATTATATTGTCAGATTTTAGTGCATCCGATTGCTTCATGATAATAGGGTCAGCGTTTACTACCGTAATTACTTCTTCTTCCTTCGACTCGTTAATGTGCATGTTTTGTGGGCTACTTGTCTGTAACGATGGATGGCAGTGGAATTTTTTCGATGCTCTGAGAGGAGTGGAAATCGAATCTTGAAATACCGAACACTGCGAAGGTTGTAATTCTATGTTTTGTGTGAAACCAGGCATGGAGTTCAAAGAAGAATGATTGCTTACTGATTCTGGCAAAGGACATTGCATAGCCATACGGTCTAACTCACTATCGCTAATTCCAGGGTTTGATAACGCCACGGAATTGTTAGTCTCTGGCAGGGCGATTGAATCCAAAGCAGAGGAGTCTGAATTGGCAATACTAGTTGCAGGATTACTTGATACATGCGTGGAGTACACTGCCTCGGGAATAACAATAAAGGAAGTTTGTGTTCTTGGAGTTTGAGTATTTAAAAACTCGTCTGAAGATTGCGGTTCTATTGCTACTTTTGATGAGGACACTGATTCTTCGCACGGTTTACAAACTTCTTTGGTAAAATTCACTAATTGGTGTGCCGTTTGATGTAGAAGTCCGGGGTTTGCTGAGGTTGGATATGACTGACCATTCTGGGACGCCGATGTAGACGATATAAGTTCTGGAATAATTTCTCCATTTCTTTCACGAATTTTACATTCCGATAGCGACGTAATTAAATCTGGATTATGATTAAGTGAGGGAACAACAGTGACAAATTCACCTGATAAATCGACGGCGTTGCATTTCGAAGATTTTGATGTTAAAAGCCCGTAACGACTCTGCGATGAAAGTTTTACTTTATCCGCAGATCCGTGAGATCGACTGCTTTTGTGCGAAATTGCGGAGGAATTTCTTGATCTATGAGAATGCATTGGAGAAGTATTTTCTCCAGATTTCGACAAATCATCTGCCGCATTTTCGGTTGAAGAATCGTCCCAAGACGACTGCCTCAGGGGTAGTTTTGGACATTCTTGCAGCTCATGCTCCGTTGAATCGACAGCTTCCCAGGATGATCCAGTCGATTGTATATATTCACTTGTTTCTGGAGAAGGCGTATTTTGTGAAGGAGACAGGACCTCATTAATTTGCTGCGGTTTTGTTTGGCTCTTACCAGTGTCAGTGGATACCGAATCCCATGAGGAAGCGTACACTGGGACAAATTCAGTCGTAATTTCAGCCAAATGCACTCTGTGTCCTTCATTTTGTCCAGAATCATTCGGGGACGTGTCTCGCGTAGGCTTTTCGTCACGTTCCGACACGGTATCCCACGTAGATTCCTGGGAATTCTCACTGTCGTGACCGGCAGGCGTCGGAGGTTTAACTACGTGGAAGTGTACTAAATCACTGGAAGAAACTGGCCCTGCAGGTTGACATTCGGACAAAGTCGAATCCCACGGGGAAGACGCACTTTCCGCGCCTTCCGGAGAAATGCACTTGGAAGGACTCACATCACCCGCGACTGTTAAAGACGGGAAGCCGCCGCTGTTAACAGAACGGCACCTCCTAGACTCGATTTCTTCGAGGGGCGAGGGCTTCGCGCAAAGGGACCGCGAATCGGGGCCGAGGTCCCCCGCGATGCGGCTGGGGGACGGGCTGGGGGGACTTCCGGGCCACGTGTCCCACGAAGACACGCGCGACAGATCGCTCTCGCCCTGCACGGGCGACAGGCGCTCGTGCGAGTGCATGCTGTCGTCGGACAACGCGAGCTTGGGCAGCCCCTGCCTGTCGAGGAGGCGAACCAGCGCCGGGTCTTCGTCGCCGGCGGGCATGGGGGAGTCGCAGCTGCCTAGGGACACGGGGGGCGAGAGTTGCGGCGAGCGCAGGCACAGAGAGTCCAAGGACGGCGCAGAGCCCAGCGGCGTGGCGTAGTGCTGCACGTCCCCGCTGCGCGAGTCGCCGGCCCACGCCGACAACAAGGAGCGCAGGCTCTCGGACGAACCTGCGGACACCGGGGACGAGGGGTTAGAGGAGGTGGGGTTCTTCCACGAGCTGTTG